GGCTTCTTCCTGCTTTCCCTTTCACCTCCCTGCATTGTGCCTACATATGCAAATTAACCCCCATCTTGTTGGCAGTTAACTGCCAATCTTAGTTGGCAGTTAATTGCATATAGCCCTGATTAGCCAATGAAAAGGGTATTGGTCGTACGCCAATTACCATTTTTGTCTTTTATTAGATAGGATTGGTTGTAACATAAATAAACTTAAGCACAAATCATATATCACATATTACATAAAATATATGTAGGTATGACTAGTACCTCAAAAAAGAAAACCCTAGAAACTTCAAAAAGGTTATTTAGTAACATATACAATTATAAAAAAGAATATATAAAATAAGGATATCAACTATAAATTGTGTGAAGTTATTAAATTTCATTTAATAAGCAATGATCTAAAACTTGTTAAGAATTGATATGCTCCACAATGACATCAATGCTGTATTAAAATGATTGGTAGAAGCAGTTGATACAGAGCTTCAGAAATGTCAAACAATTGCTTGTTTTATATTCTTTATATTTTATTAGAAAAGCAATGCATATTCATACTAACAACAGTTTTTATTTTCCATATGTATTGTTTGAATTCCCCAAAAACATTCTCCAGAGTTAACCATCTAAAACTCATTCATATTAAAAAGTGGGCAGAGGACCTAAATAGACATTTCTCCAAAGAAGACATGAAGATGGCCAACAGACATAAGAAAAGATACCGACAAATAAAAGATTAGAGAAATGCAAATTAAAGTCACAATGAAATATCACCTCACTCTTTTAACAAAGGTTATCATAAAAATATCAACAAATAACAAGTGATATGAAGAAAGTAGAACCTTCACTCACTGTTGGTGGGGTTGTAAATTGGTGCAGCCACTATGGAGAACAGTATGGAGATTCCTCAAAAAATTAAAAATAGAGCTGCCATATGACCCAGCAATACTCTTTATGGATATTTATCTGAAGAAAACAAAAACAAGAATTCAAAAAGGTATATGCAGCTTTAGGTCACTGCAGCATGATGGAAAATAGCAATGATATAAAAGCAGCTTAGGTATTCATAAGTGAATAGATAAAGAAGAGGTGGTACATATATACAATGGAAAATTAATCAGCAAAAACAGGAGTAAAATCTTACTATTTGTGACAAAATTGATGGTCCTAGAGGGTTCTGCTAAAGTGAAATAAATAAGAGAAAGACAAATACTGTATGATTTTACCTATACGTGAAGTCTAAAACAAACTAAAAAACAAAACAAAGGAACAAAACAAAACAAACAGATCCACAGGTACAGAGAACAAGCTGATGGTTGCCAAAGGACAGCAAGGTGGGGAAATAGGTGAAAACTGTTGATTGCCATGCACTTGAGTTTGATAAAGAATCAAACTCCCAAGCCAAATTCATATATTTTATTTTAGAGACAAAAAGTGAGCAAGAATGATTGTGGTAAACAGTCTAATTACATAAAGTAGCTAATGTATTTTTACACTACTACAACATTTTGAAAGCAATTTTGTGTTTATTGAAGAAGCCTTCTAGTCATGCAACTTATTCAAGATTTTTTGCTGTCAGAGTTTTAGTTTCCTAGGGCCGCTGTAACAAATTACCACAAATTGGGTGGCTTACAATAGCAGAAATTTATTTTCTGACTGTTCTGGAGGCTGGAAGTCTGAAATCAAGGTGTTAGAACAGCTGGTTCCTCCTGAAGACTCTGATGGAGAATCTATTTCATGCTTCTCTCCTAGGATCTGATGGTTGCCAGCAGCCCTTGGCTTCCCTTGGTTTGCAGATGTATCACTCCAATTTCTGCTTCCATCTTCATGTGGTTTCCCCTCTGCTTCTGACTCTTCTCAGCTTCTTACAAGGACATAAGACACATTTGATAAAGGACCTGCCCTGCTCCAGTAAATATCGTCCCAACCATTTACATTTGCAATGACCATATTTTCAAATAAGGTTACATTCTGAGGTTCTGTGAAGGACATGGGTTTTGGAAGGACATTGTCCAAACCAAGGCTGTCAGATTCATTAACATTAATGAAAAAAATTCCCATAGTATACAGGTCTAAAAATAATTGATGAAACAGATGAAACAGTGTTGAATATAAGAGTGTGATCTTTTATTTGTTAATCAGGTACTTGGATGGGAACTTACCTTTGGGAATCTCTCTCATTAGTAAATATGACTTCATGCAGAAAAGAAACTTACATTTTTCTAGGTGCATTTGTTAGTTTCTAATTTGAGCACATCATTCCCTAGAAGATTTTCTATTTCTGATTTCAATGAAGAATTGTTCAGTTTTGAATAAAGCCTATAGAATAAAAACAATCAACAAGCTCTGAAACTAAAGTTACATATTACAGAGGTAGATAAGGTCAGTCTAAAGCAAACTTAAGTATTTAATTCTTATCTTTTGTACATGTAATTATATTGCTATTTTATTAACTTGGAATCACCAATTTATAATATGTAACCATAACTGGTAAGATGCATTTTCCTGAATAACGCCCAGATAAACCCATTTGTCCAGTTTTGAGATACTGCTGCTCCTTGCGTTGAACTTTCTGTGCCATATTAATATTACCTACATTTTCTGTGAGAAAAAAATGCTAAAAATTCTCAATGTCCACACGTATGACCATATACCTATATAAATGTATATCCCCATAATTTCTTGTGTTAACCTGTTCAGGTGAGAAACTGTGAGGGAACACTTCAAGGATCAAATGATTATGACTTTCTCATAATTTGATAGCTGCTCTAAGCTTGGCTGAGCGCCCTCTGGGGTTATCCTGTACATCCTGATCTTCTGGGGTAAGTACCTTCTTGTGTATCAATTCCCACATTAAAGGGGCCTTTGCTAGAGGGCCTTCTTCCTTGTTTTCATGCCCTGAGCCCAATTGTGATGTTTGTGTCACCTTCTGTCTTACACTTAGATTAAATCTTTCTGTCATGCTTATCCCAAGCAAGAATCGTTTGACAATGCGATCCTCTAGTGAATGGAAGGAGAGGGCAACAAGACGACCACCAGGTCTCAGAAACTTCTGAGCTGTCTTCAGTCCTGCATAAAGTTCATTGAGTTCATTGTTCACAAATATGCGGAAAGCCTGGAAAGTCTTGGTAGCAATATGGGTAGATCGTTGTAACAAGTCTTTTCGTGCATAAATAGCAGAGGGAGGAAATGCACCTATAAACAGATTTTGTGAAAATAAGAAAAGAGGACAGGTAACATTAATATTTTCCACTGTAAATGTGCTGGGTTGTATATATACTTAAGGAACTAATTTTCATTTGAAAATTGTAGCATTTCATCAGTACTCCCCCATTTTATTTCTAAGCATTTTAACAAAATTTAAAAGATCTTTCATAAATCATAAAATATACTAGAGTCAAATAGGAGCAGAAAAAGAGCTCTCAACTACAAGATGTTCAATGATGCCCCAAAATAGAATAAACAGAGGAAATTGCACCAAGCACATTATAATCAAACCCTACTAGAAGCAAAAGATAATGAGAACAATCTTGACTACAACAAAGAAAAACAATACATTAAACAAAGGAGAACAAAAAATATGATTAACAGCTAATTTCTCGTTAGGATAATAGAGGCTACAAGAGACTGGGATGATATTTAAATAGTTAAGGGAAAAAATTCTGTCTTCCAATAAAAGGCTATTCTAAAATTATTCTTCAAAATTAAAGGTTCAAAGACATTTTCAAATAATTAAAAATGAGAGAATTTGTTGCTAACAGGTCTGCATTCAATAAATGCTAAAGAAATACTTCAAGCTGAACTAAAATCATACTGAGTGATAACTTAGATATACAGAAAGTAAAATACATACATATTCTCTTATTTTCTTTAAAAGACAGAACTCATTAAGTAAAATTATAACACAATACTTTTAGGTTTTTAATATAGATATAGATAAGTAATGTATATGATCGCAATAGCACAAAGGATCAGAGTAGGTAAATGGAACAATGCTACTGTAGGGATCTTATATTTTACTTAAAATTAAAGTTGCATTATGGTCCCTAGAGCAGACACTAAAAATAATACAAAGAAAGCTAATAAGCTAATAGAGAATAAAAATATTCCACAAAAGTACTGGTTAACATAAAAGTAGGCAAACGAGAATAGGAAAATAAAAATGAGACAAAGAGAAGATAACTAGCAAAAGGATAGACAATAATTTCAAATACATATGGTAGGAGGACTCACACAGATTTCAAAACTTACTACAAAACAATAGTAATTGACATAGTCTGATACTAGCACAGCAATAGACATAGAGATCAATGAAATTTAATTGGACGCTTAGAAATAAAACTATATAATTATGATCAACTAATTTTTGACAAGAGTGCCAAGAGCATTCAAAGGGCAAAGAATAGTCTTTTGACAAATGGTACTGGGACAACCAGATAGCTACATAAAAAGAATGAAGTTGTAGCCTTAAATTATACACAAAAATTAACTCAAAATAGATCAAAGATTTACATGTGAGAGCAATAACTATAAAACTCTTAAGTGAAAACACAGAGATAAATCTTCATGACTTAGAATTTGGTAAATATTCTTATTTTAAATGTACCAAACTCATAAGCAACAAAGAAAAAATAGATACAGTAGACTTCATCAAAATTAAAATCCTTTGTCCTTCAAAGGATATCATCAAGAAAGTAAAAAGACAGTCCAAAGAAATGGGGAACAATTTGCAAGTCATATATCTGATAATGAATTTGTATTGAGAATATGTAAAAGAAGCAAAATAAAAGTAACATATATGATACTATCCTATATAATAAAAGCCTAGGTGGCATCATGCAATGCCCTCGTGTGATGCTGTCACAAGACGGCCACCATGAGATGGCAGTCACAAGATGGCTGGTAGGGGAGGGCAGTTGTGGGTGATCAGGCTGGCAGGGCAGGGCAGTTGGGGGCTATCAGGCCAGCAGGGGAGGGCAGTTGGAGGTGATTGGGCGAGCAGGGGAGCAGTTAGGCATCAATTAGGCAAGCAGGGGAGTGGTTAGGGGCAATCAGGCAGGCAGGCAGGGAGGCAAGCAGTTAGGAGCCAGCAGTCCCAGACTGTGAGAGGGATGTTCCCTGAGTGGTCCCAGATTGGAGAGTGTGCAGGCTGGGTTGAGGAACATCCCCCCTCATGCATGAATTTTGTGCACCGGGCCTCTAGTTTATATAATATTTTAAGACATGCAGATCAGTGACACTGAATCTAGTTTTCAAGATAAACATAAAATATTGATTTAAAAAAAATCAATAAATATAATTTTCCTTAGACTTACCCCCATTGGCATACAGGTGATATTAAAGTATAATGTTCAATGAATTTATACAGGAGTTTTTATTTGATTTAGGAGCCCATTCTTAGAGAATACTATGCCACAGAGAAATCTTTCCAGTCCAGATTTCCTATGAATGAAGATCTGAAAACATGACTGCAATCCTGGAACTTGAGCATCTTTAGTGTGCTTCTTCACTGTAAGAATTACACAAGGCTGGAACCTTCGTTCACATTCTAGTCATCTATAGTGAACACATCCCAAGTACACTAACACACATATGATTAATCTTCTCAGGGAACTGGATCAAAGAAGGGAAGAAATAATGTACCCGGGAGCAGAGAACCTGGCGTGTAACTTTAACCACATCAGTGTTCTGAGTTCACTCTTTC